ATGACATGAAACTAAATTATTAAATGAACCCATTATGAACAGAAAAGAAAATTGAAATTTTTCAATGTTTATATTTTGGCCATAGTGTTGAATTTAACAAAACACTGTAGTTTTTCTTTATTTTTTATTATTTTTAATATTTAACAAAACAAGGATAACCACGTTCTGTTGACATAAAACATATGAGTATTTCGTTTTTGTTAAGGAGAATTAAAGGATAAATTTAGCTTTTTATTTCTTTTGTAGTAAAAGATAAAAGTAGATTATGGTCCATTATTTCAGACTAATCTCATCAGAATTTTTAAAAAAGATATAAAAGCATGTATTTTTTTGTTTTTTTTTTTTTCGTGTGAATTCAGCGTTTTTATTCACTCTAGTACAGAAGATTTACTTTTATTATTGCAAAAAGTAAAAAAATATTAAATTAAAATTTTATCTCAGGTTATGAAAGAACTTGAGAAAATTGTTGCAGAAAAAATTTTAAGCAATTACACGAAAAAATCCCAGGTCGAGAACGAAAAAAACAAAATAAAAATTTTGGTAGAGGCCATTATAAACATTTTTTAATCCAAAAAGATCTGGAAATAGTTCTTACAATTTTCAATTCACAACTTTTGTGTTCAACTCAATGGCATATAACACGTTCAATTTAAAATTATAAAGCACTCCAAACGTATAAAATCTCCAATTACACTAGGCTTTAGAAAGGAGTAGTTTAAAAGAATAGTTTTTCATTTTACTGATTTTTATTCCGGCGGGCTATGCTTTAATTAATGAAAAATTAGTCAAATCTCAAAAGGTTCCATTTACAAACTACTCCAATTACCTCAACAATAAATTGAAATTAATTATTGAAAAAAATGAGTTCAGGTAATGTACTGCGTATTTTAAATTTATAACGCCCTGTGATATGCAATTTTTTCACATATTAATATTACGAATACAGTAAAACCGGTTATAGGCGGAATCGCATGAAATCGATTTGTTTTTCGGAATAGACAGGTTTTATAAAACTAAAACTACAATTTTTTTAAATTTTCTGAACTTCACAGTAACATTCTCTTTCGCCTAATAAATCTAAAGAACAATAACAATTTCTTTTCAATTTTACTATTTTTTGGTAGCTATGTTATTTTAAATTTTTTTTTCATTTCCCGAACCGAACTACAACATTTTAAACTAAGAAGACAAAATCAGTTCTTGCATAGCCAAGCTTAAAATTATTCTAAATATTCTACAAAATTTTTTCAGTTGTGACAGTTTTTCCGTCTTTTCAGTACGAAATATTTTTAAAGAGATTTAATTTACTGATTTTTTCGATAATGACAGGTATTCGTCCCTCACAAAATTTTTTGTTTTCAATAAATATTCATAGAGCAATTATAGTTTTAACAATAGAGAGTGTTGGTATTTCAAATTCATTTTTTTCATTCATTAAAGTTTTTTAATAGTTTGAATAAAATAAAGCATTTTGCACAACTGCTATATATAAATAATAAATACAATATAAAAACAATTCAACAACTTAAGTGTTTTGTTTATATTTTCCAATCCTCTTATGAAACTAACCATGAATTCTTCCTTAATGAAAAAGAATAAAAATTATTTCTTATGCTTTGCAAATTGAAAAGTTTTTCAAACATTTAATTAAAAAATTTTGTTGACACATAGTTTTTTATTATTAAACTTTTAATTAATCAGATTACATTTTTTAGCTGCATAATTAATTATAAACAATTTCTATTACACAATTGCATTCTCGTTGACACCATAGTTATGTGAGTGACTCAGACAAAACTAGAATGGCCTAAACAGCTGCAACAGAAACTTGCAAAAAGTTTTAAACTTGCAGAAAGTTTTGAACTTTTAGGAATCGAATTTAATTAAATTTGATTTTAATTTAAAAATTTTAAAAATTTCATAATTTAAATTATAAAGACAGAGAAAATATGCAATCAAAATAAAATTAATTAAAACAAAACTGAACCTGCATGTTCAATTTTAACGATAATGCTTTTTATAAGTAACGATAATGCTCTCTAACTATAGCCTTCAAATTTTTCCAATTAAATTATATACATTTCTAAAACATCTCTTTTAAATATTATCTGAAATTATATCCAATTGAATGATACAGGTGTTATGGTAGTCCAGAAATGCTAAAGTAGAATTACCAGTCAGAATGCAAAAATTCTATAATTATCGGAGTTTGTAAACAAAATATTCTAAACCAAAAACAAAATGTACTTTTTGTTTTAATAAAATTAAAAAAGTCCTACAAAGATCTAAAAAACTACGGATTTCCTCTAAAGATTCAAAAAAGTCCTATACAAAAACGCTATATGATTAATAATGATGTCCTCATAAGAATGCTTGCGAAGGAAGATTTCATATCTATTTTAAAAGTATTTTTTAAAATTTATTGTATTTTTTAAATAAAATTCAAATGTTGGTCTGGCAATTTTTCTCTAATCCACTAGCAATATTCTTTGACAACATTATAAGTATAATAATTCAAAATGGAGCAAAGCAACACTTCCATTTTAATAACTCAAAAACAAAAGAAATCTAAAATTAAGAGTTTGTATGTATGTATACGACAAAGATTATAAGATTATACAAAAAAGTAGATAATTAATTGCCCCAGTTTTAGAAAACAAATCATGTTATACTTGTTTAGTATATTTTGTTTTTAGGATTTAGTTTTTTCAATATTAAAATCTAAGCTTTTTAAAAGTTTTCGAAAGGAAAAACAATTTAAAGGAAGCACTTTTTTGGGATCAGAAAACTACATCAATCATAATTTAAATTATTATAGCTAAAATATACTTAGTATATAAAATTATCTGAAACAATATGTTTAAAAATTTATAAAACCATAAAAATTAACCACAATAATCCTCTTTTTTATTAAAATTATTTAACATTTACGAAATTCAAAAATTGTTACAAAATATACAGGAAACAGTCTATAGCCATAAGGGTTTCCAAAAATATAATTAAATTATTTACACAATTATTGTATATAAATAGATTTCTGAAAAATGTAGAATTCAAAAAAACTACATATTTAAAAATTTATTAATTAAAGATAAAGGAAATTATAAATCAAGTTTTGTGAGCAATTAATCAAATTTCTAGACTTAATTCGAAATTCTAACTATTTACGTGATTTCGATTAATGCATACAATTTTAAACAATCGTTAAATACTTAGTGTAGTGAGGAAACCTTTAACAAGATTGTATTTATATTTTCAAGAAAATTAACACAAAATGGCGAAGATTTTTTTAAAAGAATTTTCTAATGTAAAATAACCGCCACCTAATTTAATCCAAAATTTTGAGTTTTGTGGTTTACAATTATTAAATAAAGAAAACTGTTTTTTCATCCACAAATTTTCATTGTTTCTTAATTTACGGGGCCTATACTATTGACAACAAAAACTACTAAATTTAAATATCACATTCATTGCGACTGATTATGATTAATCCTTGAATTTTCTATTCAAAATCCTTGAATTTTCTATTCCATATATGATTCCAAATTATTTGAAATTTATTTTTGAAACTCATACAATTTCTGTCAATTTTCTTAGAATTTTCTCATTAAATCATTTCTTTCAATTTCTGTTTAAAATTTTATTAAAATAATCTGATGAATTTTAAAATGAATGAAGCCTATTATCTTCATATCTAAAAATAATAATAAAATACATATAAAAGTAGCATATGCTTGAAAGAATAACTTTCAGAAATAATAATATATTCACAAATTACAAATAATATAAAATAATATTACTAACTTATTATGATTAAATTATCTGTCATATTAATTTTTATCTTAAATCCTTTTTTTCTGACCTTATTTAGAACCTATCAAAATATGCCCATAAAACAAATCAAAAAATTTGATGTGGTCAGCATATAACCGAACGCAATGTATATTGTCTAGTTTAGCGAAAGTGTTACAGAAGATTATGAAAATGAGTTTCAAACACTTCTTTATAATTTTAAGGACACTAACAAGCTTTTAATTAACATACTTAGTAAAGTGTAAATTTGGCTCTTAGTAGAGTTTCATTTTGCACCAATCGAATTCCCTGAAAAGTTCACTAACTAGTTTCGGTAACAACCGGAACGCGGATATTGAATTTCAGAAATTTCGAAAATTAGTTCCGTAGATATGGTAAAAAAAGGTAAAAGCGGTACCTAATTTGGTTTCCGAATTCTGATCTTTCCAAAAAAAACCTATAGGTTCATTTTTTTAACATCACAAATTTAAATATCAAATTTCAAGCAAATTGCTAAATTATTTCTCTCTATATATATGCAAAAATGTAAATTCCACCTGCAAAAAGGCCCAGTTAACGAGATCTGACATATCACATGAGTTGATCAACCGATGCCTCAATAAACTTATATGTATATAAAATTACATTTAAATCTATTCAGCCAAACTTGTGATGTATGCACGGCAAACCTACAAACAGACCGGTAAATTGACTGATAGAAAGACAGACAGACTAATATCTCTCTAAAAATAGTTTATTTATGCTTCCCTATCAAATACATAAGTGTGTTCTCACCGAAAACTCGACATCCGAAATTTGGTTACATCACAGTATCTCCCTTATTGTATGAAATACGGTCGATAAAAAGAAAAAATAAGAAATTTTATATCAAACTTTTAAGGCATATAAGAAGAGAAAAAATTAATTCTAAGAAAAACTTTCAAAATAAATTCTATTTCAAAAATTTGGAAATAATTTTATGGTTTTATGTAAATATGTTTGTTTCTACAAGTAAATAGCATGGGTATATGTATGTATGTACATACCAAAATATGTGCTTATATACCAAACTATATACCCTTGCACATACATACATACTTTAAAAATACTTTAAAAATCCTGCCAGCCCAAATTTTTCTTTTAGAATTGACATAAATTTCTAATTTTATTTTACTTACACACAAACATATTATATTCATAATACTTACCAAACATTTTCTTTAGATTAAGTTGATATGGTGATCCATAAACTGTTCCCGAAAATTGATGAAGGCAAATCATCAATATTCCAATTGTTATAAAAAAGGATTTAGAAGACATTTTCTTTAGTTCTGTAATAAAAAACAAAAAAGAGAAAAATGAGAAAAATTTTTGTTTTTAAAATAAATTTAAATTCATGCTGAAAATTTTATCAAAATAAATTTTTTTTTATCATTTACTATCAAAATTTTTACGTTTTATATTCGAAATTTAAGTAAATACAAACCTCAAAGGAAAGATTTTTAGCCAAATTTAATATGCTTCCTCATTTTCAATACTCTGTTAATAGCTTGATAATGCAGAACTGCGTCAAATTTCATAAGTATTTCATAACAAACTCAAATCAATATAAATTATTTACATTAAATCTTGGATCTTGTTAAAGAAAATATTGGAAAAAGTGGGAAAAAATTATTCAACTCAAGAACAATTTACTTTATTTCAAATATTCCGTATACATACTACGTCAAAATAAATAAATATATAATTATATTTCAAAAGCAAAACTACCATGATTTTAAAATAAATTTTTTTTTTTAATTTTCAGTTAATTATTTTCGTATACAATGGTTTGTAATGTTTGGTATTTTTTTTATTTATTTTGAAGAATTAATGTTGTTCAAATAAATTCCACGTTATCATACTAGTAGCTATAAGATCTTTTAGAAAATAATCTTGTATCGCAAATCCTCACTTTGTAAATACCCTATTAGGTAGGCATTTTAAACGAAAATTTTTTTGAAAAAAAAAATTTTATGTGAAGTAATTTTAACACAATTCCAGAAAATCAAGGCGACTAGAAATGCAATTTTTATTATCCTAATATTTCTTGCGTTTTAAAGGAACCATCCCATTTATAGGTTGATGTCCAACCCAAGCATTATTAGAATAATAATATTCTAGAATAATAAATGAAATTTTCTAAAAAACAAAAATTATTTTAAATTCTTAATTTGATTTTAAATTTTACTTATTAAAAGTGCCTGTAAATTATTTGTTATAGCACATTGAATAATATTCGACTCGAGCTTGACAAAATGTACGATATAATAAATCTCACTTAAGACGATAAATTTGCCCTGGTTTAGAAATTTCACTCCCATATTTGAATTATAGTTAATATGCATATACATATATACATTCATATGTAGATATTGAGTTAAATACTAAATGTAAAAAATAGTACAAAACATTTGTTTCGAATTTATTTCCAGCAGAGGAGCCTGTAAAATGTTAAAACCGCAGTTCAAAATATTATATGTAGCATATTTTCATTACAACCGCAACATTTCACTGTAAATAATTAAATTTGTTCTTTACCCCTAATTGCAAGAACCTATTAGTCATTAATTATTATTATAAAATTATTGAAGTCGTGTTATACGATAAAATCAAAAAAACCTTTAAATTCATACAAATTAAATTGCGATAATGAAGCCATTGATGTATTGGTTTTTTTTTATTGGCTTCTTATTCTTTTATTTTACATGATTTTAATTAACATTTTTTGTGTTTTAAGTCTTACTAAAACTGTAAACTATACAATGAAACTTTTGATTAACTTCATAAAATAAATACTTATGTATATTTTAATCAAATAATTATAAAATAAAAGTATAGGTGATAAAATAAAAAATTCTTTTTGCAACTCAACATTTTAAGATTAACGCCCTTACATAACAAAATATTATGCAAATCACGACTTTGATTTACGACAGTATTTAAAGAAATTTTGATGAGAATATTGTTAATGACATAAGAAATTGTAATTATTTTTACTAATTTTCTTATGTTCACGTTTGCAATTAAGTTTATTTTTAGCAATTAATTAAAAGTCCGCCTCGTATGATTTTAATTGCCAACTTTTTAATTTAAATTTCTGCCCCTCTTGCATTGAATATCTCGTATATACGTATACATAAATCTATACATTATAATCAAGAAAAAAACAAACTCTTTCTTCATTTGCAAAAGTTTTTGTTTTACAAATTAAAAGAATATTTAAAATATTTTTTTTTAAATGTCTAAATTTCAAAAGTTTTTAATGTTTTAATAAATAATATAGTATACATAAATTAATAATAAAATCTTGTATATCCTTATTAAAAAGATATAGGAATATTCCAATTTGTAATTTGATTTGATGAAATCTATTTTTGGAAAATTAATGAAAAAACTTTACTCATTTTCCATTTTCATATTTACTTTTGTAAACCATCTTTATTTAACATAAATAAATTGCGAGTAAGTATAACAGATGATTTATTATTTAATATTAAATTATATTTGCATATACTTACATTTCTTACACGTGTACTTCATGTATATATAATAGTTATATTATTTTATATAAATTACAACATACATTCGTACTTACAATTCGTATAGTATATTTTTTAGATTTTATTTTTCTCTTTAATATTAAAAATCTCTTCAAAGAAAAACAATTTTTATTTTTTTTTTATAAATAATTTAAAAACTTTTATTCATACCATTGTTAAAGTTTCAATGTCTCTCATTTTCTAGTTATTCCCTGCATGTATTCGTAATATCTTTTAAGTATTACCTCTCAAAAATTTAATAATGTTATAAAAAGTGCTGTTCGTTTTAAAAAATAAGAAAAAAGAAAATTTAGTGAGAGAGAAGGAACAGCAATATACTGTTAAAATACACATACGAGTACAATATGCGAGGACGTAAAATAAATTTTGTATTTTGTGCAAAATATTTAACTATAGCTAACCCGTGATGTGTTGCTGTATTGTTCTTCAAGTGCTTTAACAAACTTTTCCTGCACATTAAGATCTTCCTTTGCTCTTCCTTACACCATATGATTATATTAAAATTTTATTCATATTTATAAGATTTCCCAAGATCTTATTTTTTGCTGAATGTAACCTCAGGCGTGATTTCTCACAGGGCACAGCTCAGGCATGACAACCTTTTCAACAAAACCCCGTAAGACTAGATATGAATGAAAGTTTTTCGAAAATTGTATAAATACATGACCGAATACCTAAACAAATTCTTCAAAATTCTGCAATTCATCTGTTTTATAAATGTATATTCATATATGTATTCCATTTACATTGTTGTTATATAAGAGTTTTATGTGCTTGATGTAATAATTATAATAACTTATTAAAATAACACTTTTAATTACCACCCTATTACTTGTATCTACAAATAAATTTGTTTGCACATAATATAAAAATAGATTTCGTTTAGAACTATCCTTTTAATTTTTTTTAACAATTAACATATTTTTTTAATTAATATTTTCTTTAATTTTTGTACATAAGATAAAAATGAAAGAAAATATTGCGGCTTGTAATTGATAGTTAATAATTAAGACTGGATTACGTCCTCGTTCTTATTCAATTTACTTAATGTGTGTTATTATTTTACTGTACTAGATATAGTAAGTAATATATAGAAGAAATTCTTAATTAAATAATATTTGTTTTTAAAACAACATACATAATATAAGGAAATTAACATTCTCTCTTTGAAGAGTACATTTTGCATAAAAGAAGTTTATCTCTTCATTAAGGTAATTATACACAAACGTATATATAATATGTATATACATATTATATTATGATTATATAGTGTGGGTAATTCAATTATACTTTTACTTCTCGACTACCTATGTAGATATAGAAAGATGTATGTAGTAATTAATACATAAAGTTATTGTGTCGAGAAGTTTTAGAAATTTATTATAAACCCGTTGCATATAATAAGGGAAGTCATGTAATGTTATCGAAATTTGAATATCGAAATCTTGTGGAAAATGCTAGGAAAACGTAAATAAACTATATGTATTTTTAGAGAGATGTGCATAACTGTTTGCTTTTCACTTTGGGAATAGAGCACTTTAATCCACTTTTGGGATGTGTTAAGTCGCAGAACTGAACTTTTACAATACAGGCCAAATTTACATTTTTGCTTGTATGCAGAAAAATATTTAAACAATTTTCCTGAATTTCAAAACTCTGATTATTAAAAGAATGAATTGGTAAATATTTCGGTAACACTTATCAAGACTCGGGAACCGAACTTTCACTATGGGCGATTTTACGTTTAACATATTTTACCTATGCTACCTTTCATAGAATTTCAAATAAGTGTTTAAAAGACATTCACAATTTCTTTTGTATTTATTTTAACAAATTGGTCGGCTATGTACTGGCCACATCTAAATTGCCTATAGTTAGAAAATAGTATAATAAAATTGCAGCTTAGATTTATCACATATCTATATATAAGTATATTTTTTATTTATATTTATTTATACATACATATATTTAAATTAATTATTTATCTTTACATAAATTTATTATTTTATGCAAATTTATTTTTTTGTTAATTTTTAAGAAATTTTTGAGAACTTTCAATTTACCTTCATGCTTAATAACATTGTATAATATGCATGAATATATATTATTATAGAAATCGAAACAAAAATCCTATATAGATATATACATGTATACATACAGACTTAATATTTTATATTTTTGTTTAAATTAAATATTGATTAAAACTTTAAATAAATAAATTCAGATTGCTTTGTACAGATTTGTGATATTAATAAACATATACATATACTTATACATTTACAAAATAAAAAATTTTCCTATATAATTTTAATTTTATTACAAAAATAAAATAAGAAATCTTTCTACAAGTTCTTAACATTGACTTGTGAAAATGAAAGTGTATTGATAAGGAATAATTGCAAATATGTAATAGTTCCGCTTTTTATTACATATTATTAAAAATTAAAAATCATAAAACTTTTAAGTACAGGTACTTATATATTATATAGTGTGGAAGAATTAAATAAATTAAGTGTTTAATTCGATTAAATGCAATTTATTCTATAAGTATGCATTTTATAATATATCTTACAGCATTATAAATAAATTAATTTAAAAAAAATATTTTAAAAAATATTCTTTTGCATGAATATCTTAAAAAATTTGTATGAAAGTTGTTTACTAAAATAGCAACCAAAAAATATATACAAAACATTTGATGGTTGAAAAATGATACTGCAATTGGTAATACATAATCTCTACGAAAGGAATTTGGGATCATTCAAAAGTCTACGTCGCAATTATGTTCATAATTCGTAGAATTCTACGAGTAAAATTCATGAGGTAGGTATATGATTTTGTTTTTTAAATGGTAAAAGATTTGTTAATGTAATCATACGGTATATTTATAAATTCACTCACTCAAAAATCAAAAAATTATTAAAAAATACAAAAATTATTGCATTAAAACAATTTATAAACTATAGTACTCAATTTATTGTTAAAATTAAAATATTTTGTAATTTTATCTAATATCAAATAATTAATGAAACTAAAGCATTTTTTAGTTAATGTTTTAATTTAATTAATAATTTTAGTAAATAAAATAATTAAATTGTAGTAAATTTATCAATATTTCATCAGCATTATGCGAGTCATATATTTTCAGACTATATTGTAATTTACGAATTTCTAAATAAATTTTTATTAATTATAATTTAAAATAATTTTTTATTTATAAACAATAGAACTATATCTATTCTCGAAATTCGATTCAATTTCCCTTCATTCTGTATTTATTTTTTAATTAAAATTCTGAAAAATGTTAAGCAATTTCTACAATATATTGAAAAATACTATACTTGTCTATATTATTCTTAACTTGTCACTTATTATACTACATGTTATAAGTAATATCAAGTTATATATATGTATATGTTGTTAAATATATATACTAATAAATATGTAGTTATTAAATAATAATTGATATGTAATTAATTACAAATGTAATTATTTAAAAAGTGATACTTAGGTAAGACGTATATAACTATGTATGTATATAACGTATATGGATATGCATACATATACATGTCTATATATATAAATTTTTGAATAAACCATGTTCAATAATAAAAAAGTAATCTTTTGTTTTTCATATTGTAATAAGAATAAATTGTACAATATCGACATACAAACACATATCTATTATTGTCAATTGAGAATATTATATAATTAGACTATATTATTAATCAATGGAATTATTTATCTTTTATCTTTATAAGGAATAAAAATAAACGGTTTCGATATCCTTTCAATATACATAATCCCTTGTTAAAATGTTTTTTAATAGGAATCCCCGAAGAAGTATAAGACAACCACACATGCATACAAAGCCTAACACAGTTGAATTATTGAATAGAATTACATATACATTAAATTATTTAATATTATTATTACCTTTAACGCTACAAGGTTAAACTATGGTAGCTTATTTTTGAAGAAGTGGCAAATTAGCTATAGGAATTGAAAATTAGCTATATAACGCCGTTCATTAATTTGAATTTTTCACTTTTCTTCTACGAGTATACAGCTAGACTTATATAAGTAACATAAATAAAAATTTTATTTATTACTTATAGGAAATAAAAATTTTGAGGTTAAAATTTAAATTCTATTACATAAATAAATTATTTTTTTTAATAATGGTAATTTTTTTTAAACGCAATAAACGACTTACCTTTTTTTATTAAAAAATTATTCCAAAAGTCAACACCAAACCAAAAACAAACAAAATAAAATAATTTCGCTAAAAGATTATAAGTCTTGTTTTTATGAGTAAGTATTTGAAAAAGTACCCTTCTATTATGACCTCCACTACACCACTATAACACTTTTGTATTATATTACAGAGAGTATTTCAAAACAAAAAAAAAATATTTCGCAATCACTTTGTTATTTTTTGTTATTGTTAAATTTTCCGTTATTCTTTTCAGGTGAGTATTTAATTTCCTTTTATTTCAAAAGTTTCATAATCCTCTTATGTGGCTTAAAAATCCAATATTCAACTTATTTAATATTCTTTAATGAAAAATCAAATTTTAAACTAGATATAGCATTATTTTCGTTATTTTTTATAAATATGTATTTATTTACATTATTTATTTTAAACTACGAGTCCTAATACAAAATTTATTTTAAAAATTGTTTTAATAATACGCATATTTCAATATGCGTGTTATACCAATTAATTCCTGTGAAAAATTTTGAAATAATGTTTAAATTTTATTACCTAATCAAATTAGAGAAAATAGAAACAAAAAAAATATAATATATTATATAGAATATTTTTTTAAATGAACACAAAGTATTTGGATGCATGTTAAATTTTAAATTTTTACAAGCTCTTTTAAAATTCTAATTATTTAAATTTTTGATAACTCTCACAGTTTAATACCTGTAATATTAATTTAATTTTTTTCGCAAATCCTGCAATTTTAATTTATTTCAATTACACAAATTATATAGCAGCTACATATACATATTTTAAATATTAAATTTAAATTAAACAAAATATCTTTTGTAATGATTCAGGGCATTAATATTTGGCATTTTAATTCAATTTGGCTTTGTGTACTTTAATTATTATCTTTTCCCTCATACATAGCGAATTTGATTAAATAATGTGAATTTTTCATAAATCATGAAAAAAATATGTAAAAATTTTTTACATATTAATAATTTTAATTGATATGTATAAGCTACCAGACAAAAACTATCTTACGATAATTATACAATACATATGTATACAATTATATATACAATTAATAAAGAAATAAATATATAGTATATTATTTTTTTAACATAATGTAAATAATTCTAATTAATTATTTAGAACCTAATTACTTAACACACTAAAACTAATGTGTCATATAAGTATTTAGAACATTTTTCAGTTTTCAAATGTAACTTATTTGATTTCTATAATAAGTAAAATATTTCTTATATTCTGTTCAAATCCCGTCGGATTTTTTAATAAAAAGTACAATTAAAACATTGTTCGTAATAAAAACTTTAAAAAATTTATTTTCGTTTACTCTATTTATGTTGTATTAGGACTCGTAATTAAGAGTTTGTTATAAATGTAAGGAGTAAGGATATTCCGGTATTCTTTTTATTTTTATCAATTCTTTTACTTGTTTTTTTTTGACACTTGTTCAGACTAACTTATTAATTTTCACTTTAATATATTCTAAATTTACTGTTTCTTACTTTCTGTCAAATTTAAATTTCTTTTTATCCGCAGGTTTTTTTAAAAATTTCACTCTTAAAATTTTATTAACTTGATTTATTGGAAACAAAACAGTTATTTTTTGCTCGTATATGAATTAATATGAACAATTGATTTAAAAAATTACAAAAATTTTCATGAAAAACTTTCAACATTCACAATATTTTTTAGTGTTGTAAATAAACTACACATATTATTTAAAAATATGAACAAAATTAGCCGTAGAGAAAAAAACAAACGTACATATCAATGTATTTACGTATACTACAACAACGAATTTGACTGGCAGATATATATAAAAATATTTTCAGTTTTTTTTTTGTTTTTTAATTCGCGTGTTTTCAATTTTACCGTACCATAAGAAATTTTATATGTTAACGGTGAGACGACTCAATTCCTTATGAAATATTATAAGAAAAAGTTTTATACAAAGCCAACAATAAATAAAATGAAAAAGGATCAAAAAATTTTTGTGAATGAAATTATGTATCATGCTTTCTTCAAAGCAAAAAAAAAATAAGGAAGTTGGAAAGCTACAATAAAGCTCTAATATACGGCGTTTACATGCAAAATATTGGTCAAACTGTATTAAATTATCCATAGTGCTAAATCTATCAATATTTCTACCTATAAACTAGGGATGCGATTGGCTTTCAACCAAAATTTTCAAAAAACAAGAATATTAAAAATTATTAACATAAGAAAAACATAAAATATTTTTTTTTTCAACTTGTTGAAAACTATACTTGTTTATAAATACAAGTAAAAATACCAAAAATATAGCAAAAAAATATAATTTAAAGTTAAGTTTTATAATATATCTATTTGTTATGGCGTCAATGTGATAACCATTTATAAGATAAAAGTTTTAACGCAGGTTGGTAAACTAAATGCTTGCAATTTAAGAAAACTTTAACAAATATAACATACATACGTCACATCCCTACTATGAACACAATTTTGTTTTTCTTTTTTTTTCATTTCTTTCTTTTCCGATAGATGGATCATCGTGCGTTTTCTAAGTTTTTAGCATTTAATTGAATTAAATTTCTTGTTAAATTAAAATGACATTTGAACGATAAAAAAGAGCTAATTATATGAGAAAAATGGTTATGCCAAAACAGTTATGGTCATGTTTTACTATATACCAAAAATGTCGTTCCATACAAACTACGCATGTAAACACATAAGTAGTTTGAAGACTTTATTAAACGCAAGCGTTTAAATAAATTTTATTATTGGCTTATATTTTCAGCCTAATCGTGTATCTCAACTTTTCTTACTCGCTTTTAATTCACTTTCAAATCAGAAGTCTTCGTTTTACTAATGAATTTTTCACTTTTCCAGTAAGATAACAATTTTTTTTAATTGGACTTTTGCTTTTTTTCTTAAATTATCGACTGAATGCCTCACTTTCAAAAACAAAGTGAATAAATTTTAGAAAAAGAAAAACGAGATACACAATACCAAATAATTCTTCTCTCTGAAAAAATTATACACATATATAATAGTTACTCACTTTCTTATCACTTATCGAGTAAAATAGCAATACAGGCGACCTGTCCCTTTGAGTTTCATTCGTTCGCATAATGAAAGTTTACTTATATTTCGACTTCTTAAACTGACACTAGTAATAGTTTCTTCATTGGGTAAAAAATATAAAAATGTTGGAGATTTCTGTATTGCAAATATAAATTTTTGATTTCACATGATCAAGTCAAAATTTTTCGTTTTTCTGAATCTAACTTTCTTATATTGAAAAGGTATCGTAAGAGGAATAGCTATATAAAACGTGAAAATAATTGATTTAAATTTCACAGTTCAATTCTTAATATTTAATTTTTAATCAATTTTGTAAAATAACTAAAATTTTATTGAAACCCGTATATGTGAATGAACAATTCAATATTTCGCTGAATCTTATATTGATATATATTTTTTTAAAACAGCGCTCCAAGTGTTCTGAGTACAAAGCATTATCCTTTCAAAAAAAAAATCAAATGTCAAATATCTGAAAAATCTAGAAAAATGTGAAAGACAGCTTGTTTATAAATTTGTTATCGTCATCGATTCAAATTATTATCATTTAATTATCTTAAGAGCGATAAGGACAGATCTCTAGCACATTTTTGAAAACTTGAAAAAAATCATCATTTTGCTATTTGCCTAAAAATTTTAGCAAATTTTATTAGCAAGGAAACTTTTGTGTGGAAAAGACCACTTTGTCGGTGAGTGATTGAAAATTTTTTTTTTTTTTTTTTTTTTTTAATATTTTATGTACATTATTTAGTAGTGGTAAAAAAAATTTAATTTGAAAATCAAAATTTTTTTTCCTGGATTATTACGTAAAATTTTCATTTTAGTGCTCAAATTATTTACGAATTTTAAAAAACAAAACGTAAAACTAGATTAATTAAAAAATTATTTAATCATAAAATTGTTTTACTCAACATTCTTGATCTATTTAAAAAAAATAGAAAAAACAGGAAAGTAATTTAAGGTAAAATTATTTAGCAATAATATTTAATTTTCCTTTTTAAAATGATCTTAGTTTTGTGTTAAAACTGAATTTTAAGATTGTAAATTGAAAACCAAGAACTAATAAAAAAAACATGGCGGTCGTTAAGGTACATTGATTTTGTGTAAAGATTTTTCCAGAATATTTTTATAAAAATTTTAATAAGATTTTTTATGCATACCGATATGCTAAATTAAGGAAAAGTATGAAAATTTAATATAGTGCAAGGATGATAATTTTTGCATTTACAATTAACTTTTAATAATTATAATTTATAAATTGCGTTCTTAAAATTTTAAATTTTTTCACTTTGGCATACGCAAAAAGTTAGGTTAGATTTCCAACTATTGTATAAACTTTCAAATCAAACAGAAATAAAAAAAATTCTAGAATATTTCATCATATCAACTTTACAAAGGAAATTCTATATTATAAATTTGTCATAATTTGGCTAGCTTGGATTTCAATTATCAATAGTTACCGATACAAAACACGTGTAGAAGTACAAATTTACGTAGCTACATTATGTACCTATGTACGTAAAAAATAATTAAATCAAATTCAACAGCAATGCTCAATTTTTATAATAAATTATATGAATGTGGAATTAAATATGAAGTTTAAAAATATGTATAAATTAGCTATAATTATTGTGGAAAAAGCAAATTGAACTTAATATTTTAAATATATTATATAGATACACACATACATACTACTATGAAGATACACTTGAATTTCCACTTCTAAGATCATTATCTAGTATTCCAATAGTAGATATGTACATAGTTTTGTATATAAATATGTATGTACATACCTACCATTTTATTGTATAATATGTGCATATATTTAAAATGAACATATAAAGTATAAAGGTAGGTTGGTACTTACATGTATGTTATACATTTTTTTTTATATATGTACGAATATATAAGAATTTAAAGAATATGTATACCAACATTAAAAATTTTGCAAAAAGCTACATTTGCAACAAATGCGGTCCTTTCTGAATGCAAAGAAAATCATTAAATATTTTAAATAATAGATTAAGATTTAATTGTGACTTTCAGATTTATTATTATTTTTATATCCAGGAGATTAGTGAAGTTATAATAGAGCAATAACGCAAATACCTATTAGTATGTAAAAATTGTGTTGAAAAAAGTGTAACTAGGTGGGTATACCTACATATGTTTTGTACGTATACACATACATAATGGATATCACCTAGCTATGTAAATTTTGAAGTTTTAATTTTATTATTTCTAATTTTTGTTTTAATTTGCGCAACAAATAAAAAATTACTTAATTGAGCTTTTCACGCTTAAAAATATCTTTTTCTTTAGACTTTGAAAGTCAACAAAAAATTATCGTGGAACAAAGAATTGCTTGAGTTCTAAAATTGACGAACATTTTTTTTTTTATTTACATAAGTACTATTTGAAATTTCTTAAATATAAAATTTCGATTCGAACCATTAAATTCAATTTGAGACTAACATCAAATTTAAAAATCATTTTCATTGTACTAACAAGTTTTATGTTTATCTTAACTGGTGGCATTCCTAAAAAAACAAAGTTCGAAAATATACAAATAAGATAATACATTTAAAATTGGAATGCATACATACTTTTTTTTATCTTACATTTGAAAAACGGAGATTTTGGGTCTTTAATCTTATTTTTCTTTGTAAAAATTATTGGTAGAACTTTCAAAATGAAGAATTAATAGCACAACTGTAATGCAATGAAAAAGAATAGAATCAATTTTCCCAATTGTCTGCAAAGTATATGTATAACTACCTACATATCATTTAAATTTTTTCTACATTTACTAGATAAAGTGAACTTACGTTTTGAATAACATTAATTTTGTACCTATTTTTATAGATAGCCTTTTGATCTTAGAATGAATAATTAAAATAAACTTCATATTCAGTCGATATTCATTTAAATAAAAAAAAATTAATGTTAGTCTCATTTAAAAATCCATAATTTTTGCTAATATTAATCAAAATAAATTTATCCAGGAATCGAAATTTTGATTTTTGTTATTTTGTTTAAGATATGTTGGACAATTTATCTAAAAAATTGAAGTCATGAACAGAGGTTACATAATTTTTTTTTTCTTCTTTTTATATGTAAACCATAAAAGTAAATAAAAATCCCTTGAAAATTTTGTATGCATATTATGGCAACACAAAAAAATAATAACATAAAAATATTTTTCTTACATTCCTGCCTTCAATGAGAAAAATAAATTGTCCTGTTCATTTCAATAAAAGTTAACCGATAAATGTTAAAATTAAAAAAAGAAAAAAAAATTCAAGTCTTTCATGAACAATTAACATCTGATTTTTTACCATTTATCGGCTACAGCTTTTAAAACTATATTAATGAACTAAAAAAGAAATTTCAAATTTTAAAAACTAAAATATGTTCGTCAAATTTCTTATTTGTACAATTTGTATTTCATTTTCTATGTGAAGAATCCTCACAGTTTACACCTTATACTCATTGTTTTACTCAAAAAAAAAAGTAAAGTATACCTACATCAAAAATGGTTAAAGCGGTGTGTGTTGTTGCTGGGGATGCAAATGGTCATGTTTTCTTCGAACAAAATGGTGATAAAGTTCATGTAACTGGCGAATTAAAAGGACTTAAACCAGGTCAACACGGTTTTCATGTACACGAATTTGGTGACAATACAAATGGTTGTACATCAGCCGGAGCACATTTTAATCCACATGGTAAAACTCATGGTGCACCAACAGCTGAAGAAAGGCACGTTGGAGATTTAGGCAATGTAACTGCAGGCGATGATGGTATTGCAAAAATCGATATATCTGATAAATTAATTTCATTGAGCGGTGAACATAGTATTATTGGAAGAACATTAGTTGTTCACGCTGATGTAGATGATTTGGGAGTTGGGGGCCACGAATTGAGCAAAACAACTGGTAATGCTGGTGCCCGTCTTGGGTGTGGTGTCATTGGTCTAACCAAATAAAATTTTGAAAAGAGATTTCAATTTAAAGAATATAAGCCAAGAAATGACACAAATATATTGTTATCAATTTTTAAAAAATTAGAGGTGTTCTTGGAAAAAAATAGAAAAGATAGTCTGCTAATTCTTTATAGAAGTAACATTCATCACTATTGTTCTAAACAAGTTTATATTTTTTTAATTTTTGTTGTATATTTCATTTTATTAAAGTTACATTTGGTAACAAGATGTAAAACATTTCACCTTTATCCTTAGAATATTTTTTTAAATTTTATTAAATTGGTGTAAAGCAAAGACTAAATTTAATATAAGCTGGGGCTTACCAATTAAATGTGAGTTTTATTTCAATCTCTTAGTCATATAGAAAATTACGAAAAGAAAGTAACAAAATCTTTCATATTTTATACATTTAACGTATGTTGCGCAAAATTAAAATAAAATGAAGAAGGTTACTACCTACTTAGTTTTGTAACAGAATACATATGTGCATAAAGGAATAAATTTACTTTGAAGAAAAACTTTATAATTTCGACAAAATGGTGCGTGTAGAAATCATTTTTAAATGCTGTGGGGGAGGGGATCTTGTACAATTTAGATAGGCACTAAAAGTTCTAGAATTAATCTTAAAAAATCACTACAGGAACTCCAATTAACCTTAGTATCTTACACTTTTCTACGGGATTTTTTAAAACATTTTTGAAGTATTTAAAAAAAACCTTAAAATTCCTTCGAACTTTAACCTGCTACGATATTCGATCGTGTTTTTTTGTGTAGTAAAGATTAATCGAACACGCTGCATTTGGAAATATTGTAAATTTGGAATTTGTTGAATTAGAATTGAATTATTGAAAGCATAAATTCTGGACATAAATTTAAAAAAAAAAGTAAATTTCTAAGAAGCTAAAAAAATATTTAATATGTTAGACAAATAAAAGAAGATTAAGAATTAATAATTGGAATACTTTAATAGTGAAATCTTATAAAAAACATTATTGTAAATGAAATCTTATAAAAGCCAAAAAAAAAAAAAATGTTTTTAAAATAGTAATCAATGCAAAGTTTGTGGTTTTGTAAACTGCTTATTGTGGTTACCATTTTGGAAACAAAAGTTCAATTTACGATATGATTTTAAATGTTATTTATAAATTGATATCACTGCGCAAAATCAATATTGATATTTTCATACAAAATGAACTTCATAAAAGTGTGTATGCCAAACGTAGCTAATCAATAACCATCTTCGAAACCTCTAAGTTTATTAATATTGAAATAGTTGAAACTATTTTGAACTTGTCTGGAATGATTTTTAATAGGATTTTGAATATCTTGAAATGATAAAATTGAAATAGCATAAATAGTATCTTGAAAAAATATGAAAAAAAAAAGATCTGAATTTTTATAATAGATGCTGAAGGAAGATATTAAAGCCGTTTTGAAACACGTTGATTTTGTTAGACGAAGTAAACTGGTAAATAAATAATGTACAAAATTTTAACTGATTTTTTTTTCAATACTTGTTCTACATTTCAAAGTCACATCTAAGTAATTTTAAATGAATGGAAACATTTCTATTTCAGAAAAATTCATTCAAATCCTTTGAAACGAAATGGTTAAAGAGACAGCTTATTATGACGTGTTAGGTGTTAAACCTTCTGCTACCCCAGAAGAATTGAAGAAAGCTTACAGAAAATTAGCATTAAAATACCATCCCGATAAAAATCCAAATGAGGGTGAAAAGTTTAAACAAATTTCACAAGCATATGAAGTTTTATCCGATGCTGAAAAACGTCAAATTTATGATGAAGGAGGCGAACAAGCTATCAAAAAGGGAGGAAACGATGGTGGCGGTTTTCGTAGTCCTATGGATTTGTTTGAAATGTTCTTCAGTGGTAGTGGCTTTGGAGGTGGCGGACGGTAAGTTTATATTTATATCTTTTTATCTATATTTCATTTAATTTGTTATATGTTGAAAAAATATTTTAATATTTATTTTTATATTTCTATATTACAGAAGAGGTGGACGTCGTGGCAGAGACGTTATTCATCAAATGTCTGTAACATTAGAGGAACTTTATAATGGTGCTGTACGTAAATTAGCTCTCCAAAAGTCAGTTATCTGTGATAAATGCGAAGGGCGTGGTGGAAAAAAGGGTTCCGTTGAAAATTGTCAATCATGCCGAGGTTTAGGTGTAGAAAAACGTATACAGCAAATTGCACCTGGCATGGTACAACAAATTGAGTCAATTTGTCGTAAGTGTGCAGGGCAAGGTGTTATTATACCAGAAAAGGATCGCTGCAAACAATGCAATGGTAAAAAAACTGTACGTGATCGAAAAATATTGGAAGTGAATATTGAAAAGGGTATGCGTGATGGACAAAAAATTGTATTTTCTGGTGAAGGTGATCAAGAACCTGAACTACAACCAGGTGATATAGTAATTGTATTAGATGAAAAAGAACATTCAACATTTGCAAGAGGTGGATATGACTTAATTATGAAAATGCCAATTCAGTTGGTTGAATCTTTGTGTGGTTTCCAAAAAGTTATTAAGACGTTGGACAACCGTGATTTAGTTATTACATCAATGCCTGGTGAAGTAATTAAAAATGATCAAGCAAAATGTATTATGAATGAAGGAATGCCCATTCATAAAAATCCATTTGAAAAAGGACGTTTAATTATTCAATTCAATGTTATTTTCCCAGACAGTATTCCAGCAGCAACAATACCACAATTAGAAAGCTGTTTACCACCAAGACCAGTTGTTAACATACCAATAGATGCTGAAGAATGCACTTTGGTAAGTTTTAAATATTATTATAAAATCATAAAATAAATTCAAAAAAAAAATTGTTTGTGAAAACATCAAAGACCTATGCTTATTTTGTTTTTTACTTTTCTTATTTGTTTTTTTTTTTATTATCTTTAGGAGGACTTTGACCCATCACATGATAGTAGACGACAAAGTTATCGACCAGCTTATGATGAAGATGGTGATTGTCATCATGGTCCAAAAATACAGCAATGTGCAACTAGTTAAATAAAAGTTAATTTAATATATTGCAAATAATATATTTAACATTATAATAAATTTTCATTTAGAGAATCTTATTGAAAAATCAAAAACATACAAAACAAATACATAATATAAAATAAATAAAATTCACTGTAAAAATAACAACAAAACAATATAGAATCCATTATACATTGCTATTTTGATTTTTTTTTCTGATTTTATTGCAAATTTGCTAAATAACAAATAAATAATTGACTTATACTTACGTTAAAAAAAAGATATGTTTATACACATGAGCTATTCAAACTCATTTTTATTTTTCTAATAACGTAAAAATAATTTTACTAAATTTACAACAAATGAATAAGGAACAATAATGCCATAAATATCTATCAGGACACAAAGTTAGAAGATTAAATCAAAAATAAATTATAAAATTTATATGGTGTTTATATGAAAGGGGTGTCAGAAATTATTTGTGTGAAAGAAATTAATATTTTTAGCTCTTCTTTGTAAATTGCATTTAAAAAATAAAAATTGCAATTTTTATTGAAGTCAAATTTTTATGTTTTCCAAATGGAAAAGTACTGAATAAAAGAGCAAAATTTTTGAATAAGAAATTGAAAATTAGATCGCTTTTAAAAACATACTAAATAAAATGAGAGTCACACAGAATTATCAAAACTTTGAGAAAAAAAAATAAATAATATTTTAATCGGAATACTTCGAAAACATAAAGCATTAAGAATTGTCTGTGTAACTGCCTAATTAACAATACCTCCGAAAATATAATATCAGCTTGGTATCCTGATAGATATATGACATTAAAGAATCACACTTGTAAGAAGAAGAATAATAAATCTTTTAAAATTTTAAATATGTACATACATCATTACATAAGTATTAAATTTAATGAATATTTTAAAAAGAAAAAATAAAATAAATTTAAATCATTAATTAAATTAAACAGCAGCGCATTGTAGTAGGATTTTCCTCATATACCTATCATATTTGATAATATTGCATTGTTCGTCCGTAAGGTGTTTATAAAATTGCAGTTTTAATAATTATTTAAATTAAATTTTAATAACAAAGGCTTAGATGAGAATTTTTGGAAATACGAATTTGTAGTTTCTCAAATAAATACAAAATATTAAAATTGTTTTTAAATATTCTTTAAATATATAAAAAAATTTCACTACTTTATTTCTCCAATTCACTATTTTTGCATGAAAAATTTTTTAATACACGCAAAATTTTTAGCGAACACAATTTTAAATTTTATTTTTACAACTGCATTTATATAAGCATCTGTAGCAAAACAAAAATAAATTTAATATTGAATATGTAAAATAAAAATAATCTTACAATTCTATACATACAAAATATTTATTAGAAATTGGATAAAATACTTAAATGGATAAAAATTATAAACACAATATTGTAATTTATTATTTGAAATCGTTAATTTAAATATTTTTATCCAGTTCAATGGTTCATTTCAATTTTATTAATAAAAATTCTCATCAAAAAATTTAAATAAGCATTGGGTTTTCTTTTTTTTTGTTGTAAGATCAAATAAAAATAATAAAACAATTAATCAAACAAATTTCACAATGCTGTGATTAAAAATACAACATGATAATATTTCATCTAATTTTGAAAAAAAAAGAAAATAAAATGAAAATTTAATTATTCTGAATTTAGTGGTCGCAGTGTTATTAAAATTTTAATTAAATAATTACAGAAATTTAATATTGTAAATTCAAAATTATTCTCTAAAATACAAAACACGTATTAAGTATAAATTTAAAAATGGCTTTTATGATACGATTTGAATTGAAATTAAGAATAATATACGAAAAAAATCCCATTTCGTAAGCATATGCATATTTAAAAACAAATAAAAAAACATTTAAAGCATATTTAATAAATAAATTGTCGAATTTATTATTTAAAAGAATCATACATGTCCTTTCAAACAATGTTGAAAACTTACATGAAAAAAATAAAATATGTATACATATAATTATTTTTTACATTTATGTAGATTTGTCATCCTTCGTCTTCGAATCCCTAATATCCAATGTTGATAACTACTCAATTCACATTCATGTATGCACATTACAACATATGAATATTTATATAGAATACGTATCAGTTATAAGAAGATATAAATCCAACATTTTCCCCTCCTTTTATTTAAATTTTTTTAGTTTTTGGTATGCTAATTTTAATAGGATATATTAAATTAATTTGAAATTTGTCAAAAAAAAAAAACAAATAAATAAGATAAAGGAAATAAAGTTTAAATGTAATTCAAATATTTAAAATATTTATTATTTTTCAACTTTCTTAATACTGGCGAATAATAAAATAATTCTTTCTAATTTTCATTTTGATTGAAATTTAATATAACAAGTATTGCTCCGACAAAAATATTGAGCTCAATCCATTTTCTTTGAAGTAGGAACAAACTTTTAAAAAAAGTCAGCGGGAACAAGCGAAAAATAAGAAATTTTCTATGATCATTAAAAGCACGCAATCCGTGAAAGATTTTTTCCTTAAATCCATTTTTTATGTCTAAAAAATAACAACTTCAATTTTGTACTATTGGTAGAACTGCATTTTCAAATATGACTTAGATAAAGATTTGCAAGAACTTTTTTACTACGACAAAACAAATGACAATTTTTTGCAGTTGTCAATCAATGCCAAAAAGTTTTTTTAGTTTTAAGTTAGAAATGCGTACGCATACTGCGTTTTCAGAAGAACCTAGAATCTGGAGATTTTAGTTAATTTTTTTTTGTAACAAATGAATTCGGAATAGGCCCCAGTAACCGGAGTCTATTCCGAATTCATAAAATTTGTTATAATTTATTTTACAAACTAATTCATAACTAAAAAATAAAACAAAATAACAGGTTCTACGATGTTTGCATTTATTTATTTTAAAATAAAAAAAAAGAAGTCTTAACGATAATTATTATTTTTAATTAACATAATTTCTTAAAGCTGTAACAACTCCGATTCCATAAAACAGTTTTTCTTCTAAAATTTTCCAGCTTTTGGTTTGCGCCTCTTCAACTTCTTTTAGATATTTTAGATTTTCTGGTTTTTCAATTAAAATTTTACTATGAACTTTTAAAAATGTCGCTAAATATGCTTGAGATAACTCGAAATCTATATTTTTGTTAAACATATTTACTATCATTTTTAAAAACTGAATTAAAACTTTATAATTTCCACCACCATAAGGACTTAAAGATTTTATTTCAAAGTCAATCATTGATGGTCCACAAGATTTTAAATAATTTATACAAACATTATAATCATTAGTTTGTATGGTATCTTGAAGTAATTTTCCAAAACCACTTAAGTTATTGAAATTTTCAGAAATATTTACTTTTAAGTTTTCTTTATCAGTTACAGCAGCACTCAAATCAAATTTGAAATCTGTTCCGGCAACTGTAGGTAAAAAAAATGGAGCTTGCTTTGGAACTTTTGGTGGAGCTTTTGGTTTATTTCGCTTCTTAATTATATCTAAATCAAGAAGATTTTGCCAACGAGACGATGCCAAATTGGATAATGTTATTAAATTTTCTGAAATTTGTTCTGGAGTTTCATAATTTATATCAATTTCTTCTCCATCTAAACCCATATCTTCAAAAGCATCTTCGAGATTTGTGGAATCTTTTTGACTGCCGGGTAAATCAATGTAAGGTGCTTCATCAAATGGATTTATCGATCTTAAAGATAATTGATTATATAAACTTTTATTGGCCCATAAATATACCCCCAAATAATTTGTGTGAGCTGTTGCCAAAAAATCTCCTGTCGGTGACATTGTCAATGAAACACAAGGTCGTTCAGTCTAAAAATGTAGAAAATATTTCTAAAAATAAATGCAAGGTTGTACTTGAAATATTATTACTTTAAAATGATCAATCATGTAAGATGAAGGAATATCCCAAATTTTTATTGTTGAATCCATTGCAGCTGTTATCAACCAACGACTATCTGGACTAAAAGTTGCATCTGTTATTCTAGCAGTGTGTCCCTCAAATTTTCTAACAATAACTCTAGCATCATAATCAAGTACATATATTATAAAATTATCTAAACTTATTGCAAGCATGGCACTTTCTCTATGTGAACGAAACATGTTTACTCCAGACGGAAGTTTATGTGTGCTCGTTGGAAATGAAACTGGAAATAAAATAAGAATATAATATAGGAAATCAATGTAATAAAAAAATATATTATGTTATGCAAGTGCTTTATACAATAAATTATTTCGAATTGAATCAGTTCCAGTCAAAGAAGCACGGTCTTGAACTAATTCATATATAAGTACATGAAGAATAATATTTATCATCTTATCAATCAAAATTGTTCAGTCAAACGTTCTACAAAATTAACGTAATAATTAAAAAGTTTTGAAATTTAGAGTGAATGAAACCATTTTTACTTTTCAAATTATACTTCATTTATTAAAATGAAACAACGAAATCTCTAAAAATTCTATAAAAGATTCGCATTTTTTTTTAAATTTAGCTATTCATAGATAAATTTTGAAGAATGTCATTCATTTTAAAATACTTATTAATTCTTAAAATATTGTGCATTGTTATTAACGAAGGTTGTTGTCACTATTATTACGGATACCCTGGTGGCTTTGGAGGTGGTTCCCCATTTTTTAATTATGGTGGATTTGGAGGACACGGTGGATATGGAGGTTATCATGGTGGATACCCATTTTATGGTGGTGGTGGGGGTTTTGGTATTGGTTTTCCAGGAATTTATGGAGGTTATTATCCCCCTATTGGTAAATAATATAACCTAAATTAGATTTTGAGTTTGCTTTTCAACATTTTAGGACTATGGTATTGCTAATTGCAAAAATTGTCTAACAGGTTCAACAGCGTACGCAAGTTCTTATGGAAGCTATGCAAGTGCATATGCGTCAAGCTATGGGATATATGGCAAAAAATAAAAGGATTTGAAAATGAAGTAACATTAGCTGGTCCTTAAAAAATATTTTCATTATTTTTATGTGTATTAACAAAAAATTTGTGAGTTTTAACTTTTTAAAATTTGAAACCGAAAAGTTAATAAATTAATTAACGATTTACCTTGTCCTTTAAAATGCCAAAACTTTATTAATCCATCACTTCCTCCTGTTATCACCATTTGATTTAAATTATCACATGCTACTCCTCTAACTGCAGCATCGTGCGATGGTTTCCCATAACTGGCTCGATGAATACCGGATTGAATGTTAAATCGTTCGGCGTCCCCTGAAGAATAACCTGCAATTTTATTTATATTATAGTGAATGACGTAAATTTAGAGTAAAGTGCAAACCAATTATAACAAAATTCCCACAATGTGTAATAGTAATACAAGTCGTTTCTGTATTAAAATCTTTTCGATTTTTATTAAAAAACTTTTCAGGAATGAGTCTAAGATCGCCCATTTTACATTTGTGATATGACCAGGTTGTTGTTTGAATTATCCCTGAATGGATTGCGGCTATGCTATCCCACTCTTTATCCCTAGTTGTTTCTGACGTAAAGTGCACTATGGGAGGCATTATTAATGGATCATTTACACGATTTCCTAAAAATAAACTTATACTTTAATTCAACACAAAAACTAAAATACTTGAAATATTTTTATATATTTACCTTTCTTTTTTGATATTTTTCTATTATAACTAGCTCGCCCAAGACCTTTATTTAAAGACTCTGATAAAAGACAAAATATTCTCATGGAACTATCTTCCCCGGAACTCAAAATATTTAATCCATTTGAGCCATGATAACGTATGCATAAAGGCGGTGCATGGTGCCCTTCGCGAATTTTTAATAATCTTGCGCCACCATCTGGCATATCAAAAACCCACAGTTTCATTGAATTATCTGGCGATGTTGTTAGAAGCAGAGGTTCACTTGCAAGACAAATAGCAGTTGTAACGCTGGCATTATGAGCTAATATTTGACTTGAAACCTTTTTTTCCTCTAAATTCCAAAAAACTACATTTCCATCTGAACTGGAACTAGCCATTATGGGCAGCCCATCAGTGCGGAAAGAAATTTGTGTTATACTACCAAAATCTTGTTTCAGTTCCATAATTACTTCGTCAAACTTTAAATTTAGCAATTTTATAACTCCATCATAATGTCCTATAGCCACTACATCTAGAGCTGGGGCTGGTTCAATTACTGTAATTTTACTTCCACGACCATTAAAGGTATAAATCAACTTATTTTCTTTAATATTCCAAAGCTGCATATCTCCCTGTTCGCTTCCAAGAAGCATTTTATTTATATATGTTGGCGGATGGGCTAAAGCGGTTACCAAGAACTCATTAGGGAAAGGAATTTCTAAATATACCGTTTCGCTACTTATATCCCAAACTTTCAAAATATTTTCTTCATCGACTGCTATTAAATGAGCTCTAAATGGTAATAACAAATGAACATTTTTATTATGTCCCTTATATACATGACGTATTTCTTTTCCAAAGCGCCAAGAATAAATTGTTTTATTGCTGGCCACATAAGTAAATAATTTATCAACTGCTATTGCTGTAATTTCATCAGGGTGAACATCACTAACATGTATTAAACGAAAATGACTTGCTGTGTAAACTTGAAATGCTCTACCAACACACGTAGTTATTAGAGTATCTTTCCGTCTCCGAACATATCTAATATTGGCTGGAACGTGGTTACTTACATATCCCATCGCCCTATTCCTCCTAAATATTTTACTTCCAGACATTTTAAACTAAAATAAGATTTAGATATACATATAAACATATGTAAATATATGAAAATGTTCACCCTTTAAAAATTAATTTTGCTAAATAGAAAATTTCAACGCAATTTTTAATTAATTTTTTTTTATATATTATCTATGCACATTACTTTATATCAACTTCGCAAAATGCAAAATAAATAACCTGCATGTTTTATAAAAAAAAATGTCAAAAACTGGCAAGTTAAAAACGAAATATCCCGAAAATGCACATGTTTCTATCCGAGCAATTTCCGAAGATTAATGACGTTCCCATGACGTTCCTATTTGTCAGTTGTCAGTTTCATTTTAATAATCTTGTTTTTTTCGAATGTCAGAAATTGAGTGGATTTTTAAACTCAATTTTCAGGTAGAGTTTTTGTAAAATTGTGTGACAACAATGTTTTCAAACAAGATAAATTGCACTGCATTAAAAAGAAGTATGTATATATTATTAAAAAATGGAATATTCCACGGCAATTAATCAAAACAAAAAACATTACAGCTGTTAAAGGCCTTTCAATTTTATTAAATTATGAAATTCGTATTTTTTTCCAATTTGAAAATACACTTTATTTAATATGAAATTATAAATATGTTAAAGAAGCATGCAGATAAATTTAAACCAAAAAGTGGTATAATATATATATACAAGTATTTTTTAATTGTATTATTTAATATTATATTAAGGGCCCGCATCACTTTTTTAAAAATATATAATACAGATATTCTACATTGGCACTAATTATAGTGATAGGAAATAATATGTTTCAATTAGAGCCGAACCTTTACAGCAGTATTTAATTTTTAAGGTTTTATAATCAATAGAAGAAATAATTTAAATATATGAAAAAAAATAAGATAAAATAACTTTTTCAATAGCAAATTAATCAGTAGCTTGAATATCAGTTAAAAGAATCAGTAATGGGAAATTTGACTTGCGAAGTTTTGATATTGTAGTGATAAAACTTCTTTTACAAATTTAAAAAAATAACCTCTCCAGCCTATTTTCAGGTAATAAAAATTTTGCTAATAAAGTTTTAATAAATTTATTTTACATCGAAATTAAATTTTAATTTAAACGTTCGGTTTTAATTGAAACACAATCTTTTCTAAGTTTAAGTTATTCATTTTTAGTAAAGAAATCACGTATCGACTTTAAATTAACTTTGAAAATCAATTTACTGTGTTTGATTTGCAACATCAAAATAAAAATAACTTTTGACGTTTCTTGTTTCCCAAACGAGCATTTTAGAGGGTTAACTTTTCAATTTTCTTTTCATCGTGAAGTTTTCAAGTTTTTAACTTTTGTTTAGTTCGTTTTACGGATAGAAAAGCAAAATTTTTTTTTAAATTATAAAATAATATTAAAATAACTTATATTTTTAGAATATAAAAATTTAATTTCATCTACAAAATATATTGAAAATAAAAGAAAAATATTGTATCATTCAGTTTCTTAAAGAGAGGAGACGCTTTGCTATGCTAGTTCTGTCAAAAATTTCCATCAAATAAATTTTGCGTACGAAAATGGAAAAGGCGATAGGTATTGACCAAATAAATAAATAAATAGGTTTAATACTCAGTTTGTGTTCCAAAATAATTCAAAAAAAAAGAACTTGTGTTGTTGCTAAACAAAATTGTTTTTAATTATACAAATAAGGATATAAAAAAAATGTCATCATTTGTGGCCATATTGGAACTACTTAATGTAAATTAGCAACCGCCGCCATTCTTTAGTGCAGAGTGCAAAAGAGGACTAATCACATATCAGTCAGTCAGTCAGTGAATATGTCAGATAATTATTTTTTAATACAGTAAAAAGGCTGTTTAACCTAGTGTGACGTAAAAATTATCAAAAAAAAAAAATTAAATGATTCTGGAAAAAATAAAATTATTTATTGAATAAATCAGCTTTTTGTTTCTGATCAGAACAAAAATTGATTAGTCCCAGACAATTGCGTATTAATAGGTTAATGTTTGTATCCACTAATTCTAAAACAAAATCGTATTTAATTTATAAATGTTTTTATATACAAACTGTATGGTATTTTGATAATGTTTAATTGCATCGACTGACAGTTATACAGGTAAAAATTTACATAAAAATATTTTTCTAATAGTTTAAAAAATTAGATAACAATATGGAAAATAAAATGGAAACAAAAAATGCAATAGATTCTACCGAAAAAGCGCCTGTTCTTCAATCAATTGAAGAACCATATTTTCAAGAACGATATCCTGGGAAAGTTTGCATTTTGTGCAATTTAGGTGAAAGAAGTCAATTAGGTCAAGGAGAACTTCTTAGATTAAAATTAAATGAACCTGAAAAAATAGCAATTTCACAACCTATCGTTGAAGAAGAAAATACTTCACAATTGGTGCAACAAGAAGGTAAAAATTCTATTCCTCTTAGTAACAGAAGACAGAAAATTATTTGCAAAATTAAATCGAATAATGAATATGTAGATGAATTGCAAAAAATTGGTTACGTTGAACAAATAGATTTTTTGTGCCTGCTCGATTCAAATAATTATTATTATATTCACCGATTATGTGCAACATGGTCATCTGGTGTGCAAAGAGAAAAAAATGGAGTTTTGAAAAAAATTGAAATAGTGGTATCACAAAGTCTTCTGAAGAAATGTTCATTATGTAGTCACTTTGGAGCTAGTTTAGTATGTAAAATGACGTGCCCGAAAATATATCATTTTCCATGTATATCTGCTGTTGGAGGTTTACAAATTATAAGCAATTACACATCATTTTGCCCTGAACACGTTTATCAAGCTCCTTTAATTTATGATTCTATTAGTTGTAGAATTTGTTCAAGTAGAGGAAATGTTGCAAATTATGTTATGTGTTCAACATGCGGTGACTTATATCACGGAACATGTATAGGATTACCAAAATCTCCTGGAGCAAGAGCAGGTTGGCAATGTAAATCTTGCAAAAAATGCCAAATTTGTCGATTACCGGATGCTACAGAAGGTAGATCGATAGATTGTGAACATTGTCAAAAAATGTATCATGCGAATTGCCTTCGACCTATTTTATCTTCTATTCCGAAATACGGATGGAAATGTCGATGTTGCCGAATTTGTTCTGATTGTGGATCGAGGACTCCTGGTGCTGGTGCATCTTCAAGATGGCACGCTCATTATACGGTTTGTGATTCATGTTATCAACAAAGAAATAAAGGCTATTCGTGCCCAATTTGTCATAGAGCTTACAGAGCTGCAGCCCAAAAAGAAATGGTGAAATGTGCTGTATGCAATAAATATGTTCATAGTAGTTGTGATCATGATGCAGATCTTAAAGCTTATTTTACAAAAAAAGAAACATCTCCCGAATATCAGTATATATGCCCACCGTGTAAAAGTGCAATTCAAAGTGGAAAATATTCAAAAAATCGACAACAGTTCGAAGAAGAAATATTACCAACAACTCAAGATAGTAACAATTTAATTGATGAAGCTGAATTTGATTCAGTTGAAAAAAGTACGGATGTGGGATTGGGTAAAGGAAAACCATTTGCTGCGATAAAAATGGTGAAAAAAAGAATTGGATTGGGTAATACCAGCAGTAGTCGTGGAAAAAATAAAAACTCGTTTTCAAAAAAACCTAGAAATTTAGAAAATTCTAAAAAGCGTGGAACAAGAGGTAAAATAAGGCATTTTTATGGAATTCCATATCGACCTGAACAACAAATATTTCCTAACAGCGATAAAACCTCAGAAACAACTAAATCTTCAGAGGAGGAGCCTGGTGGTGATAATCGGCTGATTTTGTGTTCTGTTAAAAATAAATTTGTTTTTTCTCAAGATGTATGCGTAATGTGTGGTGCTATCGGTACCGATCAAGAAGGTTGTTTAATAGCTTGTGTCCAGTGCGGACAATGCTACCATCCATATTGTGTTACTGTTAAAGTTACTGCTGTTATATTGCAAAAAGGTTGGAGATGTTTAGATTGTACAGTGTGCGAAGGATGTGGTCAGAAAAATGACGAATCTCGTTTGTTACTTTGCGACGAATGTGATATATCTTTTCATACATATTGTATGGATCCACCTCTAGAAAGTGTTCCTGCAGGGGTTTGGAAATGTAAATGGTGCGCAACATGCGAAAAATGTGGTAAAAATAGCGAAATGGTTAAAGGAGCTTTAAAAAAACATAATGGCATTGAATGCGAACCGTGTATTAGTCGAGAGATATGTCCAATATGTAGTCAAAACTATAACAATCAAGATTTAATTATTAATTGTTCAGCTTGTGAAAGGTGGTTGCATTGTTCATGTGATCATATGTTCAAAGACGAAAGTGAGGTGTATGAACAAAACGTGTTAACATATAAGTGTCCCTTATGTCGGCCAAAAGAAGAAATCGTTAAAGTTGAAAATATTAATAATACTCAAACTGAAACTTCTTCAACGCCCACCCCTCTTCCAATACAACAACCACAGGCTCCTCCGCCTGAGCCTCCTGAATCTGTATATTCTTTAGCAGGTTGCCATTTGATGGATGGTGTTTATTTAAGTGATAATGGTGCTAGAACAATAAAGGAAATGCAAATTGACACAATTAAAAAGAAAAGGAGAACAAGAATGCTGACCAACGACCTGAATTCGAAAGATATTGCTAGTGTTTCGGGTATGGAATTAAAATTACATGATGAACAATCAAATATAAACAATTCTCCAACTTGTGGTGATCAACAAGGTGTAGAACCAATGCAATGTGACAATCTAAATCCTAGTTTAAATGAAAATTTATTGTCTGACAATGGTAGCGTAAAGAAGAAGCGTCAAAGAAATTTGCAAAAAGTAGGAATCGGTGGGTTCTCAGTTAAAAATAGGCAAGTTAGAAAAGAGATTGGAATTGAAAAATCAGAGCTTGAAAGCGGTCCTTCTAAAGGAGAACTAGATCGTAAAAAAAAAGGTTTAAAGAAACGAGCTAAAAGTAAAATTCTTGAAAGTTACCCTTCATATGTTCAAGAAGCGTTCTTCGGAACATCTTTATTAAACACGGAAAATGGCATTTTGTTTGAATCAGACTCAAGTGATAATGAAATTTCCCAAACAAATTTGTTAACATTATTAGCTGCTACACCAGTACCTCAACCGCAACTACAAAATCAACCTCAAATACATATTCAACCTCAAACACAGGCCCAACTTCATAACCAATCGCAACAACAACAGCAACCTCAACTCCAGCCGCAACCTCAGTCAACAAGAGTATTTGTGCCAGACAATAGTTTAGATAAGAAACAAGTAATAACTGCCGTAACACCTGAACATATAATAAATGTTACGAAAAAGCTCGAATTTAATTCAACGCCAAATTATTCAATTGAAAACCAAACACAATATACAAATGCAACTGGTATTATAACCGATTCAATAGATGTTAGAAATAAAATAAGTCAGCAATCAGTGATGAATTTCCAAACAAACATACAACAACAATCTCCAAAAATTGAGCCAACTCCTTCGCAAATTATTAACTTACTACAGGGAAATGCTCAAATGCCATATATATCAAATATAGAAAAACAACAAGTAGTGCAACAGCAACGTCATACACAGTCACCACAACTTCAACAAATTCAACAGCAACAACCTCAAAATGTTCAAATTCAAAGTGTTCAAACACCAGTGCACATGAGAAATTCTCAAATAGACATTTCTAATTTCTCTTTATCTTCCAATAATTCAAATGATTCGCTACTATCACCAACACCCAGCAATAGCAGCATTGTAACAAATGCCAATGTTCCACCAAACAAAACTGTCGAATCAATTAATAATGAAATGTCTTCAACTTTGCCACAAGAAAGAATGCGCCGAGATGAAGAATTAGGCGAAATGGCAACAATTTCCGCTGTTTTGTACGCTAATACCAGGTATCCTAAATTAAAAGAAGAATATCCAAATTGGCCTGAAAGGTGTAAACAAATTTATAAATTTTGGCGTTCACTATCAAATGAAGCAAAAGCCCCGTTCTTACAAAAAGCTAGGGATAATCGATCTGCTCTAAGAATGAAGAAAATTCAGCAGAATCATGATAGAACTATATTAAATCATAAAGCTCTAAAAGAACAAGAACAAGAAAGATTGTGGAAATTGCACCAATTTAGAGCGAAAGAACAGCAATATAGTACTGAACCACCCCAGTTAGTTCAACAACAACAACCACAACAACAGCAACAAGTTCCAAATAGTACAATAACACAAGTTACTCAAACATCACAAATGTCTCAAGTAGGACAACCAATTCAACCAGTAACACAAGTACCTCAAGTACAACAAATTTCACAAATATCACATTTAAACCAAGTACCCACACAAATTCAACAACAAATACAACAAGTAAAGCAAATACAACAAATGCAACAAGCTCAACAAGTTCAACCTAATCAACAACTGGTACAACAAGTTATACAAGTTACACAAATTCAACAAATACAGCAGCACCAGCAGCAACAACAGCAGCAGCAACAACAACAACAACAGCAACAACAGCAGCAGCAACAACAACAGCAACAACAGCAGCAACTGCAACAACAACAGTTGCAGCAGCAACAACAATCACAGCAGCAGCTTCAGCAACAACAATCGCAACAGCAACTGCAGCAACAACAATCACAACAGCAATTACAACAAAATGCTACACAAATTGTTAAAGAAGTTCCGGACTCATCCACATACCAAAAGGTGCCTTACATGCAATTGCAACAGCAATCTCAAACAACACAACAAATTCTAAATGATCCAATAAAGAAAACCACATACATAACTAATAGTGATATGCTTAAAAGTAATAAAATATTTAACGTTTTGCAACATCAAGCTGATCCAAATATTAATTCGATACGTAAAATTCCCACGCCAATCCCCAACGCAATTGTATTTCCAAATACAAATGAACCAGAATTAAGCATTAAAAAAAGTGTCGATGTTGTGGAAGAGGATAGTGATTTCTTTGAAAATATCGATAATGCTGATGATTTATTAAGTTCATTAACTAGTGATTTGGGGGGTGATTTTAACATATTAGAATATGCTGATACAGATTTTGATACATTAATTGATCAGGGTAATCAACAATTATTTGATAAATTAGATATTGAAAGTGATTTAGATAAAACAAAAATGACACAAGAAGTTTTATCCGAAGAAGATTTATTATTACAAACCAGTTTAGATCCTTCAATTTCAACAAATTTACTAGATATTAAAACAAGACTTGACATTAGTGACAATCCAATGAGTTTTTTAAATATTATAACAAATAATAATGTTGGTCAAATTACACAAAATATTTGTCCATCTGTAACGGTGCCTCCTCCTCCATATCCTGGTCCACCGCCGCCTTATCCGTCGAGCGAAAACAAAAGTTAAATAAAATGTTAGTTAGGGAAATTAATTGAAAAGTTATTAGTTAAAAATTGGAAAATAAAACAAAAAAAAAAGCAAAAAGTATAAACAAGCAACATTACATTAAAAAACAACAAAGATGAGAAAAAAAAATAATAACAAGAGAAAAAGTTTTCACTTTTTTCATTTTTATTTTATTTTCTTTGCTTATTTTAAATAAATTATTTACAAAATCGTTTTAAATGCATTAAGAATTATAAAAAAAAAATTTGTTTATATAAAACGTCTGATTTTCTGTTTTTTTGGAATAAACTTCTTTGGTAAGTCGATTTTGTTTTGTTTTTGTTTTATAATACACACTACTTAAGCGGTTCATATATGCTATTAAACATATATTTTAATAAAACTTTAATATTCAAACAATATTTATTTATTAATAACGTTTGATATACAAGGTTCCTAAAGAAAATTATTAACACAATTCTTTTCTTTCAATTTTTTTTCATCATTTTGTAGGTCTATCGCATTGAAATTGCAATGGTTTTTATACTTGTAACATTAAAGCCCTTTAATTAATTCATTATTTTATTTTGTACAAATATTTATGCCTACATTTTCTATAAAGATTGAATATGAAATTTGAATAATAGCGTGAACATGTCTGAATTTTATATTCTTTAATCTTTAAAATTTAAGATTAAGAATTTAATTTAAGAATCTTTAAAATTTAAAAGAACTTCATATTTAAATTACAGAAGTTTTAGAATGTACGTAATAAAAATATTGTGTTTTATTTCAAAATTAAAAAAATTCAGATCATCAGTTACAAAAAATGAAAATTTTTTAAACTGGCCACTCTTAAAGTATGCTGCTCTTAAAATTCAAACAAAAAAAAATAATCTTTTGAAGTTTTCTTTCATTAATTCTGAAATCAGTTTGTTTAAGCTTGCTTAAGTTATTTTATAACTAACATTTACAGTTAATTACCAAAATTCTAAATTTGCAGAATTTTATGAGTTATAAATTCTTTTTATCGTGACTTAGTTATAATGTTAAAATATGGTGGAATTCTGCAAAGTGTCTTATTTAATTGTTTTGAATATTTTAGTCTCGAAATAACAAAACAGTGCTGTCTATAGTTACTTTCAATGAATTAAGTCACTTTCAAGTCATTTTTTATGAGATGTGATTTAGAACATCGCGTTACGTTTTGCTACAAAAGTCTATTGATTCGTCTTATTAAATGTACATAGATATAACCATAACTTGACTCATTTAATAGTAAAATATTATTTTTAAAATTATTAATAGTTCAGTAGAATTTAGGCGTTTGGTCTTTGTTTCGAATATGTGAAATTTAATTGAGAATATTTTCTAAAACATTATTAAGAATTTTAGTTCATATTAACGATATTTTATACTAATTTTAAACAAATATTAAATTTAAATATATTCTGCTTTTAAAATATTTTTTTAATACCGTTCAGATTATGAATTGTCATTTCAGTATAATATGAATTGTTTTTAAAATTATGCCATTAGGATTCACTATAGAGAATATTTTATAAGAATTTTTATTGATAATATTTATAAAAGTATTTAAAATTGTATCGCTTAAAGAGTTTTATGTACAGCTTTGCAGTTCTAGTTTTTAGCATGGAATTTTAAAAAAATTCACCTTTTCAAAATTTCAAAAAAAATTCAAATTACATTGTAGAAATTTTCAAGCAAAATAGTAAAATAATACGATCCCTTTAATAATTCAGGTCACAGTATTGAAATTTTCAAAAAGTCGTTGAATTTATCGAGTTAATGTAACACAATATAACACAAATAGTCTTTTTAGAATAACATGTAAATGGCTAAAAAAAAAAGTTTCAAGTCAAATTCTTTAATTTTTCGAAAATAAACTCGAACTCATAAAAATTATACGTTAGTTGTTTTTATATTCTCTCGACATCTTATTAATTGACTGCTGCTACTATATCCTAGCCATTCTCAATTTTTGAAGATCAAATTAAATCATTTATTTAAATTCTTAATAAATTTTTTCAAAAATGTCTGTTATTAAATTGAAATATTTTTTGGCACAAAAACTTCTTATAAAATAAAATTATTTCGAAATAAAAAAAAAATTTCATCATTTCATCGAACATTTTTTTTTACTAAAATTACACACTCATTACTTTTTACCATTTTCTTATCCTAGTTTTCATTAAATATTTTGACATTTCTAACAATAAACAAAAATAAATGGAATAAATAGCAAAAACAATAAAAGTACAAATACTATTTGGGTAAAATTGTTAAAAATTTTAGCTATTTCTGAATATTATTTTATTATTTTTATTATTTATTATTAAAAAAAAATATTTTAACGATTTTGAAAACATGTTCTCAAAATTTTAAAATTTTGCTTAAATTGTTTCTTTAAAAATTTAATACAAATTAAATAAATTTGTACAAATAAATTAACAATAGTTATAAAGCACAAATTCCAAAATTATAAATAAAAGAATGTGATTTTTCGAAAATTCAGATCTTAGGTGCCAGTTACATGTCAGACTATATCTACAATTTAATCTGATCAGCATTTACATATCAGATTTTATTTACACTTTTACGTTAAAATTTTGACGGCAATATTAACTTTTCTATATCTACAAAGCTGGCAACAAAATTTAAAACAAAAATCAGCTGATCGTGGCCAAACTTTTTTAAAATATTATTTTGCACCATGTTACTTTTAAAAATCTGACAGAAAATCCGATGATAGTCGAATATGTTTATATTTTTTTATGTTGTCAGACTGCAATTACACGGACAGATTCTCATCAGATTCATATTTAATCGTAGATTAAATCAGATGTGAAACAGTCAACTTAAAATCTGCAACTCCAAACGTTTAAAAGCTCTCCATTTAATTTATGCAGAAAGCTTTCCAAAATTAATTTTTGAAAGAACCCTCTATTATAAAAGCTACATATGTTTTTATTTTCAAAAATTTAATCTAATCTTCAAAAATTAATATTTTAAATTCGAAACACAGTTTTTCATATTTACAAAGTTTTCCTTAAAACCACAGAATTTTTAGAATAAAGCAAAAAAACTATACAAATATAAACAAAAAAAAATTTTTTTTATCAATTACCTTTTTAATTACTGTTACTAAGTTCATTCTAAAGTACTCTACTTATTTATTCTTTAGTTAAAATTTTATAATTTTATAATTAAAATCAATAAAATCAGTATTTTATTAGTTTTTAATTTCAATTACAATAGTAAAGTACACACTTATTTTTTCTCTTTTATTCTTTTTGATAAAAAAAAATTATAAATTCTCTGATATGTTGCGACTTTAGTTTTATTCTTTTATGAGTGTGTTTAGAAACTAGAATAATTTTGTTATTGTTTGTTTTTTTTTTTATGTTTATTATGCTAAAAATTCTCTTTATTGCAATATTTGTCTAAAAATACTACTAGGAGAGCGCCTAGTAGGTACTCACTTAAAATTTAAAAGAAAATTAAAATTACCACGTAAAAAAAAAAAAAATTCTAATCAGATCTTTTTCTATAGCTGAGCACATTGTGTCGAATAAAAATATTGTACATACTTACATTTTCTTTTTTGAAGTACATAATTCCAAAAAAAGCTTTGTGTATACATAATTGTGTGTCTGTACATGACTTGTGAGTTCAATATGTACGTATGTACGTATAAAAATGTATAAATTTTTTTTTTTTAAGAATTAAAGCCGGTTTATTTTATTTTGCAAGGTCAGTGTTCTTTTCTTACCTATATACATATACATATATATATATGTAAGTAAGTATGCTAATTTATGTTTATAAAAAATTATGCTTTTATATTTTTAATTTAATTAACATATTTACATACATATGTATATGTATTATGTAAATATAAATGAATGTGAAAACTTAATTCTAATAAGATCAAAACTAATTGAAAATTCATAATAAAATAGAAATAAAGTTGGGTCAAACCAATGGTTTGTATTGTAGCACTTTTCCCTTCAACAAGTGAAAATACTGCTTTTAAAAACAATCTATGTATATCCACCACACTATTAAAATTATTTTCATTCATAAACGAAACTATTTCTAGGATTGCATATATTTAGGATGACGCATATATGCAGTCTTTGAAATAAAGCAAAAATTAACATAAAAAGGGGTTAACATAATGCTCGATTTTAAGGGTTAATTGTGTGAGTTAAGAAAAATAATTATATTTTTTAATTTCATGGAATATACCGTTAGCTTTTTGCGTTTATAGAAATTTGAAAAAGCTTGCGGTTTTGGAAATATAAGGTGTCAAAAATTCAAATTTTACAAATTTCAAGAGGTGATAACTTGAGAGGGGGTGGAGAAGGAAAAAAATTTTCTTCTAACGGAATAAACTATTTGTTAATGTCTAAAAGCCCCTAAAATTTCAAGCTTCTGCAGGCTGGGGTATAGGAGAAAAACGACATCAAAAATTTGGAAAAAAAGGACTTTAGATAACGGTAAATTTGAACGGCCATTTTGTTTTTTTAAAGTTTAACTATAGTATACGGCGCTAGGGGAAGCAAGCCACTGCCTTTCTACGCTTGCAAAATTTTAAAAATGCTTATGGTTTCATTGCAAGAAATAGTTAAAATGGGCCATTTTTGGGGCTTTGGGGGGGTATAACTTCTAGAGGGGGGGAGACAGGTAAAAATTTTGTTCAACGGAAATAAGTTTCTAGTAAAGATCTATGCACGTATTAAATTTCAGCTTTCTATCTTTAAGAATGTAGAAGTTTTGTAAACAGACACACGGACAGACGGACGGACGGACGGACAGAGTGAAACTAATAAGCACTTTTTTTCAAAAAATTTTTGGAAAAGTGCTAAAAACGAAGTGAAAAAATTTAATCTAATATGAATAAAATTTTTTTTATATGTATTAAGATTACAAATTTTTGAATTATAATAGAAGATGATAAAAGATAAGATTATGTCACTTTTAACTACATAGAGAGTGAGAATAAAAAAAAATTAAAGAATTTCTTTAATAATATCAAAATGTACAGGAGGATTGCAATAAATTTCTTTCTTAATAATATTTTATTGCAATGGCAAAATTAAATTGTCAAATAGAAAGCACCACCATCCAACTATTAATTATCTTTAATTCAATGCAAATGAAAATATTGTTTTACGTTCTTATATTTCCTATTTCGTTTTCCCATAGAAAGTGCAAGTGATTTCTTTTTGCCATGATTTAACAGACGTTTCTCAAAGTCTATGACAATTCAAACATAAAAGTTAATGGGCAA